GTATTTATCTTTTTATTAAATAACACAAATAATAAAATTAAATAAACATACTAATATACAAAAAAATATACACATTATTACACCAAAAAATTTACACATATAGTAAAACATACACACAAACTAATACACCACCCATGACCTGCGGGTCGACCAATGACCCATTCACATGTCCCATGACCTGAAGGTCGACCCATGATCAGCCCATGACCCATGGACCAACTCATAGTCCACAATCGATCTCTACCTATTATGTGTTTTAATTTTTGTGTTAGTCTATGTGTGTATATTTTTTGTGTATTAGTGTGTATATTTTTAATATATTAGTTTGTGTGTGTTTCGGTGTATTAGTGTGTGTATATGTTTGTATTTTGGTGTACTACTAATGTGTGTGTATTGGTATACTAATGTGTCTATTAAAAATTTTAATTATTTTATGGGTTAATAGGTTCAACCAAATCCGTTATAAACTCAACCCATTATAACTCATTTACAACATAAGTGAAAAATAGATTAAATTTATTTTAATCTAATTCATAACCAACCCAATTCACCCCTTTGATACTTCTGGTTGGAAGCATCTTTACTATGGTAGAAGAGTTAAATGTAAATAGGCATATCCACTGTGATTAAAAGATTATATTGAAGTTGTAAGATAAATCATTAAATATAAATAAATAAGACTATTATTGTGGTTTATGGTAAAAACCTTTCAACTTTATTATATAGATTTTATAAATTACAATATTTTTTTTATATTGCTTTTCTAAATGATATCCATTCAAACTTTCTTATAGACGCAGACAAGTTGACAAAAAAAAAAAAACTAAAGCGTATTGTTGCATTTCACTAACACTTTGGTCAAGCCCCACCTCTACCCAAATATATACTATTAATTATGGGAGAGATTGAAGTTCGGTGTCCTCTCATGAGTCACACAATTTGCCTAATATTAACCATTCTGTCAAGTTTCGTGCGTAAATTTGTGTTTTCAGAACAAATTCGTCATAAAATCGTGATCTTTCTGACATGAATTCACTTAAATTAATTTACCAAGTTTAATTAACTACAATAAACAAACTATTTCAATAAATATTTAAACTATAGTGTGCCAATGATATTTAGGCTAGTATTCATCAATCGAGTCAACACGGGTCCGATCATCACAAGTCTGAGGCTTCGACCTCACCTAGCCTCAATAGGCTTTGAAACTATTTCAAAGCCTGATAATTGGCCCGCTTAAGTCCGAGTCCAATATCATTAAAAAGGGGACTTGGGTTTGTCCCCAAACTTATTGTCTGACCGTCAAGCCTAGCCCGCCTACCCTTCTTTTGAAAAAAAATTATACTTTTAGACCATTAAATTTGAAACTTTAAAATAAGTCTCCCAATATTAAAATTTGAAGTTTTAAAAATTTAGATCTTATAAATAATGAATTAATTTATTTTTCATGTATTAAACATATAAGTTTTAAATGGTAGAGTAATATAAATGATAGATAAATTAGTAGGTATTAACCTAGTTGTAATTTATTCATTTTATTGGATGTAGTTCACTATTTTATTTTTATCCATTTTGACTTTACGTTTGATTTAAAAATATAATTTACACAAATATTAATTTACTAAAATATTCATTATTTTTAAACAAATATATATATAAAAAAACCCGAAAACAGACCTGCCTAGCAAACCCGTTCACAAGCCTGCCCAATAGATTCACGGATTGGGCTGCGGATAGCCTACCCTTACGCGAAACCTGGCACGTCCAATAATTCACTTGAATAAAAGCTTTGGTCTACATTATCCAGGACCGGCCCGAAAAAAAATTCATGGGCCTAGTCCAGCCAGGCCCATGGACACCCCTACATGGGTCAGTGGCGTTTTATAGGCATGTGGGGCTGCCAATCTCTCACTCCCTGTCAATGTGAGATTTGCATCTTCACCTAAAAAAGCATTGACATGCCTTACAAGGGTTCTTCTTTAATAGTTACCAAAATTTAAATAAGTCATATCATATATTTATATGTAAAATTTTACTTTTTAAAATATATTTTCAATAGTTATATATATAATACAGCAGTTTTATGACACTTCTGTTCTATGAATTTTTTCGCTTTCGTGCTCTTGCTCCCGCTCCCATTCTATGTGATTTTGGTCCTCTCCCTTAATTAATAATAATAATGATAGATAATTAAAGTTAAAATTTATGGTAGAATATATTTTAATTGCACCAACTCACTATCTACTGAATTCATTTATTATAGGTCTCTCTTCACTTCCATTGTAATCATCTATGTAATTTTTACTTTTTTATTGTTGTTCAAATAAATATTTACTGTGATTAAAATACATATACTATGCTTATAAAATATGTGTGATTAAAATGTGAATTCTGGTGAATAAATTTATTGTCGTAAGTAGAGGTGATAATCTTAATCCATTATCTTTTAATCCGCCCGTAAATAAATGTGTTAGATACTTATATTAATTAATACGAGTTC